GTATCAGCATCCTCTGTATCAGCATCCTCTGTATCAGCATCCTCTGTATCAGCATCCTTGTATCAGCAGCTCGTATCAGCGGATCCTCTGTAACCGGATCTGGATCAGTATCAGTATCAGCGGATCCTCGTATCAGCATTCTCGTATCAGCGGCTTGTATCAGCGGCTCCTCCGTATCAGCGGACATCGTATCAGCAGACACTGTACCAGTGAGCCTCCGTACTGTATCAGCAAGCCTCCTCCGTATCAGTAGCTCCTACTACGTATCAGCAACTCCTATGTATCACCAATCCTCTGTATCTCCGTATCAGTGACTCGTATCAGCGGGGAGCCTCCTATCAGAATCCGGCTCCTCCGCATCACTATATCAGTACCTCATAAATTGGTTGATTGTTGCTTTCTTGGAAAAACCAATGTTAAACTGGTCTTCTACTAGTACAAAATCATCCAGAAATGGCAGTCCTTTGAAGATCCGCCCTTGAAATAACTTGAATACAGAGATCCGCACTTGATTGAGTATCGCAGACCRCAAATACTGAGATCTGCAACAACGCAAATAACAATGCAAATAGCTTGAATACGGAGATCTGCACTTGATTGAGTATCGCAGACTGCAAATACTGAGATCTGCAACAACGCAAATAACTAGATCTGCCATGCCGGTCCCTTGAGTATCAAAGCCTCTGCACGCCTGTCCCTTGAGTATGTGACAGTTAATCACTGTTTCGCTTGAGAATCGAAGCCTCCACACGTCGTTCCCTTGAGTATGAGACAGTTAATCGCCATTTTGCTTGAGTATCGAAGCCTCCACACGCCGAACCCTTGAGTATGATACAGATAATTCTGTTTCGCTTGAGTATCCGCAAACAAAAGAGCCATTTGCTTGAGTATCGAAGCGTCCGCACGCCAGTTCCTTGAGTATCGAAGTGTCCGCACACCAGTCCCTTGAGTATGAATGAACGCTTGCGGTTGATTGCGGTTGAGTATGAATGAACACTTGCTTGCAGAGGAGTATGAATGAG